ACAAGTCCACGTCACCCCTCTGAAGAGCATCCCAACCAGACCCATCCCCCCAGTAACCCTGCATTTCCCGTGTCTCATCCACCTAATTTACACAGCCCTGGACACTACAAGCAATTTAGCATGGCCAATCCACATAACCTGCATATCTATAGAATCCCTGAAGTGTGGAAAGAGGCCATTCTGCCAATCAAATGCTGCACTGACCCTCTGAAGAGCATCCCACCTGGGCTGAGACACCAGCCCCCTAACCCCACATTAACCATAGCTAATCCACCTAACCTGCACATCTTTGGACTGTGGGAGGAAACCAACGAGAATGTGCAAACTCCACACAGACAGTCGCCCGAGAGTGAAACCAAACCTGGGTCCCTAGTGCAGTGAGGCAACAGAGCTAACCACTGAGCCACCGTACCATTGTTGAAAGGATTATTTATTCTGCATTGTGCGGTCATATTAATGAGAAGTTGATCTAAAAAAGGCATTGCGCCCACACCACCACCCTTCAACATTAGAATGTCACCATTTGCAAGTTCCCCTCCAAGCCTCACACCATCCTGACATGGAAATATATAGCATACCTTCAATGTCATTTGGTCAAAATCCTGGAACTCTCTCCTTCATGGCACTGTTGGGGTGCCTCCACCAAATGGAGTGCAGTGCTCAAGAAGGTAGTTCACCACCACTTTCACAAGGGTGGCTAGGGATGGGTAATAAAGGGTGGCTGAGCCAATGCAGCCCACAACCCATGCTTGAATTCATAGAATCCCTACAGTGTGGGACCAGGCCCTTTGGCCCAACTTGTCCACACCGACCCTCAAAGCATCCCACCCAGACCCATCTCCCTGTATACCAAGGGGTAATTTAGCATGGCCAATCCACCTAGCCTGCACATCTTTGGGCTGTGGGAGAAAACCCACACAGACACAGCGAGAATGTGCAAACTCCACACAGACAGTTGCCCAAGAGTGGAATCAAACCTGGGTCCCTGGTGCTGTGAGGCAGTAGTGCTAACCATTAAGCCATCGTGCCACACCGATAATTTTTAAAAATCCGAATGCTTAACTTGGGACCGCAATGTGTTTCCAAACAATTGTCCAAATCTATTTGGGGCCACACAAATATTCTAGGCTTGGTTGGGGCACAAGATGCAACACCTTCAAACGTCACAAAACCCAAAATACCGTGGATGCTGGAAATCAGAAATAATGCAGGTGAAACTTCATTCTGAAGAAGTGTGATACCAGACTCAAAATGCTGCCAGAACTACTCTGAACTTTGCCAGGCGCTTCGTTTTGACAAAATGCAGATGAGTTGCAAACCTGAGAGAAAGGACCATGTCTGATTTAGAGATAACAAGGTGTAGAGCTGGATGAACACAGCAGGTCAAGCAGCATCAGAGGAGCAGGAAAGCTGATGTTTCGGGTCTTGACCCTTCTTTAGAAATGGGGGAGGGGAAGGGGATTCTGAAATAAATAGAGAGAGGAGTGGAGGCGGATAGAAGATGGATAGAGGAGAAGATAGGTGGAGAGGAGACAGATAGGTCAAAGAGGCGGGGATGTAGCCAGTAAAGGTGAGTGTAGGTGGAGAGTTAAGGTAGGGGTAGGTCAGTCCAGGGAAGACGGACAGGTCAAGGAGGCGGGATGAGGCTGGTAGGTAGGAGGTGGGGATGGGGCTTGAGGTGGGAGGAGGGGAAAGGTGGGAAGAAGGACAGACAGGTTAGGAAGGCGCGGCTGGTTTTGGGATGTGGTCAGGGGAGGGGAGATTTTGAAGCTTGTGAAGTCCACATTGATACCATTGGGCTGCAGGGTTCCCAAGCGAAATATGAGGTGCTGCTCCTGCAACCTTCGGGTGGCATTGTTGTGGCACTGGAGGAGGCCCAGGATGGGCATGTCGTCCAAGGAGTGGGTGGGGGAGTTGAAGTGGTTCGCGACTGGGAGGTGCAGTTGTTTGTCGCGAACTGAGCGTAGGTGTTCCACAAAGCAGTCTCCAAGCCTCCGCTTGGTTTCTGATTAAGAGTCAGTCTGCCTGGAAGACAAGAGACATGAAGAAGTAGTTTGCCTCTTGATAATAATGTAACCACTACAGGTTTCACTATGTCTATTTTCTGATCAGCTATGCTCAGGTATAGATACACTGAAGTGCATATGTAAAATCCTGTGGGTGCAACAAATGTGTTAAGCCTTCATAGAAGACCCACTATGAACAGAGAACTGGCCCTCTCTCTTCTCACAGTTGTGACATTTGTATTCTTTTTGCAGTCCAAGTCCTCTCTTTTTTGGGCCTCACCCCAGCATCTCCAAACCCTGCACGGGTGGTCTCAGCATCTGCCAACCTTGCAGGTTACATCATGTACAATTCAAATTGTCCAACATTTTCCCACAAGGGAGCAAAAAAAAGCAGGAGAAAAGAAAGAAGTCTTTGTTTTGTATCCTGGTCCCAGTGTTTTGTTTTGATTATTCTATTGCCAGGTGAACTTCAGTCACAAGAGAAGCCTGTCTGTGAAAGATGTTAGCATTCCGGGTAGTGATTTAATTATTTGCTCTTACCACAAACACACAATCGTAAACCACAAATGCAATTATCTTCTGCTGTATACTGGGGTTTAGAGCACGGAACAATAATAAAGTATATTTGTACAACCTGAGAGACACATTTCCTGAATATGCAAGGATTAGGCCTTATTATTGTGGACTGTGATATACTGTTTGTGAGTGAAGCCCCCACGCTTGATTTAATTCAAATGGAACTCAGAGTCCTGCTTGAATAGATTAAACCACAGATTTGATTGACCTGGGAAAGTGAAACAATTAAAGGACGAGAGTCAAATTGTTGCCTATGTCCAGTGAGAAGACTTTGCAGAAAAGTGAAATTCAACTCTAGAACTTGCACATTTTGCGTTACCATACATTTCGTGACACCATTTCAGAATATGTTCTGACCTGTGGGATATGATGCTTGTGATCAAAGCATCTCCTCCACAGAGTCAACAACTTGCTTCACATGTGTGGCCACATATTACTGTGTGAACACAATTCATTTGTAGAGTTAATCATGGATATGAGCTGCATATGTTCTTAAGGATTGGAAAGCCAAATGAGACTTTTAGATATAAAAAAATACATCAGGCTCAGCCATCGTCCAGATCATGTTTCAGGACTGCAAACAGTTTACTTTGTTCTTTTCCCATCCAAATTCATGCACTCTCCTCTATGTCACCTTCAATGGTATGCCTTTGGGTGTTCTACTTCCCTCTTCATTGCCATTACCATTATTCTCATAATGCAAAATACGTTTACTGGTGTAATGCAAAGATACAGTACAATCAAATATGCCTCTGCAGATTGCAGTTTCAGGGAATGGGACTTGTCACCCCACCCTGGTCCAACCTCTGCTTTGATTCTGAATTCGCAGACGAAGAAAGAGGTCTCTGTTTTACCTTGTTGTCAGTGCTTTGTTTTGAGTATTCTGTTGCCAGGTGAGCTTCAGTCACAATTGAACCTTGTCTGCTAATGAGGTTATAATTCCGCTGACTGATTTAATTATTGCTTATTACCACAAACACACAATTGTGAATCACAAATGCAATTATCTCCCTTTATGGATTTACAGTCATCCTTTAGAGACTTATAAAGCATGTTGGTAAAGCTCAAGAGACACATTTTGACAACAGTTACTCAATTGTAAAGATAACGTGAAAGAAAAGGCAGATAGAAATGAATGCAAAAGTAGCTTTGCCAGAAAACTCAAGGAATGAAAACAGTTTGTGTTTGACTGAAATATTAACCCATCTTTCTCTTTCAGACCCTGACAAAGTGTACATTTCATAGTCTCCATTTTCACTTCAGATTTACAGCATTCAGAGCTTTTATATTCTCTCTTTACATTGCTCTATAAGATTGTACATCAAGTCATGTACATACACTGTTTTGTACAATCTTGTATACATATATCTAATTGAAATATAAAAACTTCTGACAGGGCTCTACACACTGTATGCAGGGATGATGTCTAGGAGAGGCTGGGATCCAGAATCAGGAGTCACAGTCTCAGGACACACAGGAGACCCTTTAGGCCTGAGATGAGGACAAATTTCTTCACTCAGGTGGTGGTCAATCTGTGGAATTCTCTGCCACATGAAGGCTAGGGAGGAGAAATCAATGAAGATATTTAAGAAAGAGATAGATTTCTAGAGGCTAAACTATCAGGGAGTATGGGGAGACAGCGGAAATGTGGCATTGAGAAGGAGATTCATCCATGATCATTCTGAATGATGGCACAGGCTTGATGGGCTGAATGGTCTTCTGTTGCTGCTATTTTCTAAGTAGCTACACCACTATTGACATCTGAGGGTTTGCACCTTGCTTGCCTTACTCTGACTAATTCCTGAAACTACTGGCAGGAAATAATCCTATAAGGCTGCACACTCTTGACAAATTTCTCTTACTCTCGGTGCATGGCAATTTTTAAAACATTGCTTGCGTCCCTCCTAAAGTGTCTCAACTTGGTTTCCTGTGCCCCTGTCCCAGTGGTACACAAATGCTGACTGCCATTGTTACCTTTCAGTAAAAATGTTTTCCACAGTGAGATACAAAAGGGCCTGGCACGCATGTATGCACTGCCATGGCTGGGTCACTCTGTGGTTACTTTGTTCGATCACTTGCTGCCAACTCAAATAAGAAACATGGCAGAATGCCCTGGTAAGATTCCCAGCTGCCTCACCTTCCTCACGAAATACAAGCTTCCTTTAAATTGTAACTTGGACTGAGATGATATTTGCACATGGCTCTGCGGGAGATTTTACTGAGAGTTTCCCCAACTCGTTATGATTCCAGACAGGATATCGCCCAAACGGTTGTGCTCCCAGATAAGGAGGGATAAACTGGCTTCCCTTCCTTACACAACCCTCACTCTTGTTTGGTTGCTACAAGATTCACTTAGAAATGGATAACATTTCCCAGCTCAAATGTATTTATGATCGAAAAGGAGTCAACTTAACCAGGTTTTCTTGAGTTGAAGAAAGCGCAAGTTTATTTGCTATTAACATAAAAGAAAAGATGACAAAACATGTATACACAGATCAGAAATGAGAGATGAGTCCAAAAAGTAAAATTCTAATAAAGTGTTGAATGATGAATAGATTGCAAAAACGTTATGGCTATAAAGGTGAATGATTTCCATTGTGCTGAGTTTGACAGTTGTGCAGTTGTTTAGAGAATCTAGGCTCTACAGCCAGCTGAAAGAAATTGCCCCCGTTTCCTTCAACTATGACCTCCGTTGTGCATTCAGATATTTCTTCATTTCTTTTTGACCTGCGTACACATGGGCGTCTAGTGGAAGCTCTCAGCAGTGACCCCTCGCACCATGCTTCAGCACAATGTAATTTGAACCACAAGCTAGCACAGGCACCAAGGGTTTTTGCTGATTTTTAACCCCCTTTCTTGTACATTCTTGGAAGAGCAAAACACCAACATGCCTTTCACCCAGTCTGACTTTCTTTCAGTTTATCATGTCCACAGTTAGGAGCACAACCCACAGGAAATCACTGTTCATTTTTTAAATGGTATCTCTCCCTTTGAAGTGTTGCTGTTTGAAGTTCCTTTGACACTCTTCAGCTCTTCATTTCAAATTTCAAGGATATTCCATGAATCCTCTCAGGCTGCAATATAATCCACACAGGGATTTTAGACAGTCATTCAAGCTTTTGGTTCATATGTCTTTTAAAAAAAAACCATAAGTTGTGCTTTAAAGCTCAACATGTCAACATAAAGATAATTTTGGGGTATGATTTTTGTCATGACTGTATATGTACATTTAGATCATAGAGATTATAAGTACCAGCAAAATGCTTTAATTGTTGAAAGAGGATGCTTGGGGTGTTCAGATAGAATATGTTAAGGTTATGAAAAGTATTTTTGATGTAATTACTTGTTATGTGATGTGACAACTTGCAATTTGCATGATATGCTTTGCAGTTTACTTTTTATTATCCATTTAATGTATACTACAGACAGTCAAGGTCTTGTGACAGATGTTTTGAAGTTTTCTCATAACACTAATTATTTACCCAGCTATAATATAATGTACTTATCATACATAATCAGTGTTTACTGTTGTTACTGCACATCACACACAGACAGCTGGTAAGGATGTGTTGGGCAGAATCTTACCAGACCCTGAATGACATGGACTCTGGCAAGAAATTTGAGAGAATCAGCTGAGAGGTCAAGATAGCCTTGATTGGCATCATAAGCAGTAAGTCGCATATTCCAGCTAAGTTCCAGATATCTGGATGAGATTCTCATCAGTGACGGGCACAAAGCCAATTAACAGAGAGGCGATGGCCTAGTGGTACTATCACTGCACTATTAATCCAGAGACCCAGCCAATGTTCTGGGGACCTGGGTTCAAATCTCACATTGCAGATGGTGATATTTGAACTCAATAAATACCTGTAATTAAGAGTCTAATGATGACTGTGAATCCATTGTTGATTTTTTAGGAAAAACTGCCATCCTTACCTGGTCAGGACTACATGTGACTCCAGGCCCATAGGAATGTGGTTGACTCTTAACTGCCGTCTGGGCAATTAGGGATGGCTAATAAATGCTGGCCTAGTCAGCGACGCCCTCATCCTGTGAATGAATATATAAAAAAAAAATCACTCCTTAACTAGTGCCTAATTTCATCTCTTCAACATTTAGGGATCCTATTCCACCAACTACTAAATAGAAATTAGTTGCCAAGAATTCCTGAGATGAAAGCCAAAGCAGGAGGTTGGTGATTCCAGCTCACTGTTCCTCCATACCTCCACCTCAGATACCTGGCACCCTACATCACAAGGTACACTCTATGGTTGTGGCCGCACATACTCCTTGTCTATGGACCCTGGCACATGCCAGCCTATCCGCATCATTGTGACACCTCTCGGATCCACTTCCACCTCTACATTGTCAAGCTACACATGGCAGCGTACCAGCATCTCTCACTATTTTGCTGCTGCTGCTTTGTGTGCATTAACAGGCACCAACTCACAGGCTGGACAGGTTGCATCCCATGGCGGCTCCCTCTCTCTCTTGGCTCTCACTGCGCTAGCATCTACTCAGATGGTCACAGCATTCCTGCCTTGCTTTACCTCACCTTTTAGCACTCTAGCCCCTCATTCACAGTTTAGAATCTCACAGTACTTCTGCCTTGCCTTCTAGCTTCGCGCAGAAATGAAACCAGGCATCTTGGCATGCTGCTCACAGTCATCAGTCAAGTGTGTGGACACTTTGCTGAACGGCGTTGTGCCATGTCAATCTCTCACCTGCTCCATGTGCCAGCTGCATACAGCACAAACTGACTACGTGTGCTGCAAGTGGACAACCATGCGTTCAAACTCCAAGGGAAGTCATCCTCAGTTAAACTATGGGAGACACTCTTCAGTCAGGGGTGCCAGCACAGCAACCAAGTCATACTCTGTCCTCAGTTCCAGGGCTTGGGCACAGTCAGTCAGCTTGGGGTGGTCAAGGTCAGATAGTCCAGGTATCTACAGTCCAGGGAATGAGCCACAGTCATCCACACGCTTACCGTGAAATCAGTCCAGGGAACACAGCCAGGGACCTGTAGCTATATCAGTCAGGGATTTGGTCAATCATCATTTGGGGCTTCCTGTCTAAGTCACTCAAGTGTGGGTGAGTTACGATCTGTCCGATGTATCCGTCCAAAAAAAAATCCAAGGAATTTATCAGGGGCCACTGATGTTGGAGAGAGGCTGGGGGATGTAATTGTTGGGATTGGAGACTGAATGCTAGTTTGCAGAGGGGATTACAATACTAAGGGGTTAATTCAATACATGAGGTGGCGAGATGATACAGCATAGGAGGGAAGGTGGTCAGACAGGAGTAGGAAGGCATTGACAGTAAGCAACCCCATAGTTTCCATGGAGAGACAACATGCCAGCAGAACTGGTATATTTCCTTGATATACCTTTAACCCATAACTAATTAAAAATTGGTCTTTCTCCCCCTTGAATGTATTCAGGGTCCCCGTGTCCACTGCACTCAGGTGGAGTGAGATCCATTGATTCATGCCCCTTTGAAAGAAGCTAGTCCTCCTCATCTCTGTTTTAAATCTGTCACCCCTTCTTCTAAAACTTTGACCTCTTGTTTTAAATTGCCCAACGGAGGGGAAGCATTCTCTCTATGTCTACTTCGTCAGTCCACTTTAACATCTTATATACTTCAATTAAGTCTCTCATTCTTTTAAATTCTAGAGAGTATATGCCTAAACTGTTCAATCTCTCAAAAGGCAAGCCTTTCATCTCTGGATTAATCTAGCAAAACTTGTCTGAACTTTCTCCAATACAATTACATCCTTCGTCAAGTGAGGGGACCAAAACTGTATGCAGTACTCCAGATGCAGTTTCACCAACGCCTTGTACAATTGGAAACTCTTCCCTAATTTTATATTCCATTCCTTTTGTAATAAATACCAAAATTTCATTGGCCCTCTTTTTTACCTGTTGTACCTGCATGTTAGCTTTCTGTGATTCACACAAGGACAGGTAGGATGAGAATGACAGGTAGGAAATCCAAGGACCCTCTGGAATATCCTGAGAGGAATTGACCAGGGGATCTATTTACAGTCTCCCTTCCACTGGGGTGCTTATTGGAACCAGCCAATCTTCTTATCAGGAAGGGGCATCCGGAGGGAGCTCAGGGGTTCACATTACCTTGTCGCCTTGTTACTGATGCTGAGCACCAATGGGGATGGCAGTGGAGTGCATGTCTATGCTCATCTCCAGTAGGCTCTGAGACTGCCAGGCGTGGCTCCCCAGGGTAGAAGCAGCAGGGTGCCAGCTGCATTGCTAATTCTGTAGCCTGTTTGTCGGATTGCCCAGTATTCCTGACAAACCTGCCCCACTGCTCCTAACTCTGCCTGTTCATTTCAATGAAGTCACTGATTTACGGCACTGTGGTGTTCTTCTTGCCTGTAGCTGAGCAAGTGCCTGGTCTCTGCCAGTCCTCCGAGTGTCAGCACCCTGGGGCATCGCTTCTTTAACCGGCGGTGGGAACATGACAGGAGAGTGCTCGCCAACAGTTGCAGCCAACTCTAATCCAGATACTATACCCAGATAGCTGAGCTTTGCCATGCTTTGACAGCCTTAGGCATTAACATATTATGTACAGGTGAATCCCTTGCCCCAAGCACTCTTGACCTTATGTTGCAAGATATACTTGATGCCTGATGCCTGTGATCCAATAATAATATTTGTCTACCTGGAAAGATGGCATCCAGTTGCCAATGTAATAGGCTCCTGTGACACTGGCTGCACATAGTGCAGGAGCTGCTCACTTTACACCTTGGACCATGGAACCTCATGCATGGTGAAGGATGGGCAGCCTCTGTACTTTCAATACTGCATTTATGAATCAACAGAGACACACACACACATACACACTCACACACACACACAGACACACACGCACATACACACACACACACACAATCACACACACACACACACAGACACATACACACTCACACACACACAGACACACACGCACATACACACACACAGACACATACACACTCACACACACACAGACACACACGCACATACACACACACA